CCAACATTGATAATTCTAATAATAAATCAGCATATTAGAATGATTTCTTAAGGATCTTGTAACACTTTATACTGGAGTAATGGCTGATGGAAATTCAGCTTTGCATCACAGAAATAAATTATACTTTAAAAACATTATTTTATATTGTAATTACATTTTGCAAGGTCACTATTTTTTTCTGTATATTTGATTAAATAAATGCAGCCTTGATGAGCATAAGAGACTTCTTTAAAAACATTACAAGTCTTACTGATCCCAAACTTTTGACCGGTTGTGTGTGTGTGTGTGTGTGTGTATATATATATATATATATATATATATATATATATATATATATATATATATATATACATATATAAATATATATATACATACACGATTGGTCACTTGATATTTTGGTTAGGTGGTCTCTTCCTAAGTGGGCAGTTCTTAGCCAGAATAAGCTGCATTGAGCACCAGGCTCTTTCAGGGGAAATAACTTATTTTTTTCTTCCTCTTCGTTAAAGCTAGTAAAGCTAACAGCAAAATTACCTAAAAGTGCCCTGGTCCCCTAGCTTTATGTCCAGATGTTTATAGATTTTCATGTACTCTCACTCTTCAGGGAAAGCTGTGATCATTCCAGCCAGATCTGTTGGCCAGTGGTAGCTTAAATGGGTTCTGTTTCAGGGCACACTTTTCACCAGCAGCCCCTGCAATCTGCTGCTTCCGGTCATGTTCTCCCTTCTCTTCACATTATAAAATACACCATTTAAAGCTGGATCAATATTACAATCAAAAAGAGAACAGCATAACCAGCAGTTACAATCAAAATGCCACTAAACTCGAGCTTGTTTAATATATGTAAACGTTATGTCTTATAATGTCCTGTATGTATGTCCTCTGTATTTATATCAGATGTTTTGTTGTAAATACATTTGTCTTGCACGCTCCGTGTAAAATCAATGTAAAGGGATCATGTTCATCATGTTCCAAAAATATCCCTAAGTGTCTCTCTCTTTTTAAGAAGTGACAGACCTAGTTTTAGAGAGACTCTTAAGACAGCTTGATTTCAAGCACTCTCTAGCGTAT